CAAGGCTTGTATCCCAAATGCCTGCTGTAATGTGGCAACACAGAGGTGTTGCCTGGCGCAATTAAATTGGTTGTTGATGTAACTTGGATCACGGCTCGACCTGCAGCGGTACCTCTCCTTGTGCTTTTTAGGTGAGCTGTACCATCTCCAGCCTGACTCGTGTTGAGCAGCAGCCTATCCTAGCAGGTCTGGGCTTATTCTCTGCTGTGGCCACTCTGGAATCCCATTAGTGAAAGAGAAAGATGTTTCTTCCTGCCTTAACTTCACAGTGCTTTGTTCAAATATTAAATGCTTGGGACCAGGGTTTTGAAATATTGATACAGGAGAAAGCACAGGCTGTCTCAGTCAAGCCTTGTGCAGGCTTTACTCAGCTGCCTTGGTGCATGTGGGACCTGCGGGGGAAGCTAAAAGGTCAGTGTGACTGGCTTTCTGGGAGTGGGGAGGGCTTGGGGAGGTATCTGGCTTTTAACAGATCATGGAGGAGAAATTCGCTAGGATGAGATCACTCATGACTTGGCAAAAGTAATACCCAAACTCCATCATCCGCAGCTGACTTCTTGCATTGTATTGACTTAGGCTGAGCATGAAGCCTGCCTACGTGCTGTGCAGGATTGTTCCTTGGATACTCCCAGGGCTCTGCTGCCCTTTGAGTTTAACGGTGGTTTCAGCCAAAACTTCTTCATGGGGAAGAGAAAAAAACTGAGCATGCAAATAATATTCTGGAGTCTTTTATTGATCTTCATGTGTACTGAATAGTCTCCCTGTCCCTTTTCCGTCAAATCTTTCCCTTAAGGCCACTTTTCTGTTTATGCCTTAGTGATGTCTGCAGTGATAACAGACATATGATCTGTGCATTCTTCAGTGATTTTTTTTTTTTTTTAATATATAAATCTTTCCAATATATTGGCTTGATGGAATATGATCTCAGTGGCCTTGGGGCTCTGTGAGATTTTAGATCTGTGGGGAAAGGGGCCTGTGTGTTCATACTGTCTCTTGCACAGTGCTAAACTCTGCAGGCAGCTCTCCCAACATGCTAATTCCATGACTGAGGAAAGAAACAGCTTGTTCTGCCTCGATTGGTAGCAGATTGATGAATTTGGCTGGAGGTTTTTTGAGCTGTGACAATCACGGGGACTATCATAGTGGCAATGGAAGAACAGGGTCCTTGCACGAACATTACAAATCACTTGGGGAGAGCATGTCTGCGTGGGGGCATTTCTGTACCCCACGCTGTGGGCAGTGCTTTGCGTGACATTGCCATGGGCCAGGCTGTGTAGGTTTTGGAGAAATGTGACATAGACACGATAGCTGTTTTGTGTAGCCTTGTTCTAGAAATGTAAGCGATAACAGCGGGATTGCCAGCACTAACTCTTCTGTATGCTGCTTTGTTTCCTGTGCTCTTTTAGGACAATGAGAACTTTGGACGTTTGACCACCACTGTCTTGACATGAGCCACAGCACACCGGGGATAAGAGACACTGGGGCCCAGGGAACCTCTGGCTGTGTGTACACAGTGAATTCATTTAATGGACAGTAGTAAAACACTTGGCTTTGGCTGATTTGGTTTATTTTCCCCTTTACATGATTTCTTGTGCTGTGAGAAATGAAGATGTTGCAAACAACCCATCTGCGTTTCTGCGACACCTCCTCTGTTCCTTGATTATTTTAGTTTGTTGGTGTCACTTGGCATGTTTATACTATTTTCAAATGTTTATGTCACTCTCCTCTTCCTCACATTTTTTCTTTTTCTCAGTTGCTTTACAGGGTTTGGAAGAGCTTAACTGCTTTTCTTTTGTCTCCTTTTTTACCTTAGGAAAATAATTTTTTTATCTTCTTGTGCTTTGCTGAGATTTTTTTTTTCATCTTCAATCTCACAAAGGAAGCTTCTTTACCACATCTAAACTTTTGTTTTATTTTTTTTTAATCTTTTTAGGGGTTTTCTAACAAAAATGGAGTTAAATCAGAAGTGCTATTTATAAGGTGGAGATATATTCCACATCCGTTTGAAATGACTTGTTACCCACCCAGAAGGGAGTAAGGAAGCAGTTCAGTGTGGTTGGTGTGATTTAAGGAAGGGCCTTGGCCCAGCCAGTTGCCAATTCCTGTCTTGTTTTTCAAAGCTGGGTAGCCCGACCCATGTGCTTTGATGGGACTGTCTTCTCTGTGTCCTGAGGAGGGAAAAGACAAAGCGTCATGTTTTTCCTTGTCAGCGATGAGGGAATGCACTGTTAGTCTCTCTCTGGGGTTGCTGTGAGAAGGGAAGAGAAAATAATTGTTTAAAATTTTATTTCTTCACTGCAACCCACAGAAGGAGTTTCAGCCATGCCCGAGGCCAGTGAGATGAAGAGGGACCGGAGCTAATTCCTGCTGGCACGCTGCTCGTCAGAAGGGTTGCCTGCTCTTTTCCTATTAGTGTTTGGGTGCCAGACTGGGTGCTGCCCCCAGGATTAAGGAGGCCCTAATCTGAAGTGCTCTGCTAGCCAGGGGCCATGCACGTATCAGTGCTTCTTGCAAGACGTTCCTCTTCACTGACCAGAGAAGCACATGTCTTCAGTATGTCTTTTTCTGCTGCATCAGTAGGTACCGTAGTTGCTTGCCTAGCTGCCACACAATAGAAGTGTGGGGTTTATTTGAATTTTCAAGGTTGTTGAAAGTGCCGTTATTATTTTTCTTTCCTTCCTTTCTCTCCCCTTTTCTTCTCCATAGACACGTCAGCCTCCAGCAGAGCCTGAAAAAGAGGAAAGAAGAAAAGAAGAGGAGGGGGGGGGGAAATCGTAAAAAAGCCAGGCAAGGCATGGTTAGCATTTCTCCTGCACCCAAAACTACTCCTTTTGGTTTCACGCACTGCAGTTGCGTGCGCTTGGTCTGCCCGGCGGGGGGGACGGCGGGGCTAGCGCCGAGCACGGCAAAACGCGGGCGTTAACACATATACACACTCAT